AATAAATATATAAAGGTCATAGATCTATGTAATTTGGTCACAATTCAAAAATTTTAAAGTCACAATTCAAAAATTTTATAGATCACAATTCGTTAATCGATCACATATTAAAAATTAAAAGTCATAATTTGTTCATCGGTCACAAATTACAAAGTTTATAAGTCATACAACTTATTTTATGGTCACAAAACATCAAATTATAGGTCACAGATTACTTTTATTGGTCACAACTCGATTATAACTTAATAAAATGTGAGTCACAGTCACAATTTTTAGGTCACACATTATTAATTTGTCAAAAATTAACCAATTATTGGTCACAATTAACCAAAATTTGATCACACCCACATCTATCTCATTCTACCCACAACCATCGTCATGACACCGCACACAACACCGCTGTCAAACACCACCATTGCACAGCAAAGCGTACCTCCACCTCTACCGCACCACTAGTAACCTCCGTTCCCATCATCGCCAAAACAGCACATAATACACACAGATCAGCACACATACCCATAAATCGCCCACCTCTACCACCTGCAACCGCACAAACAACCATCACCACCACCGGTCGCCATCACCACCATCACCACTGCCAAAACAACACAAAACACACAGATCTGCACACACCCAACAGCACGCCCAACTCCACCACCCACAACCGCACAAAAACAACCACCACCGCCACCACCTTCAGATCCACAATCCGTCGCAGTACCACCACTACTAATCATCGTGATTAAAAATCCACAATTCCCAGTAGCACGACTTCAGATCCGCAATCCGCAATCCACAATCCACAAACTTCAGATCCACAATCCGCAGTAGCATGACTGCCTGAAGTACCAGAGAACGAGTTTGGGGGGAATTGGGGTGATTGGCGATGGAATGTAAGGGATTGAGCGTGGAGAGACGGAGAGAAGAAGAAGAGGCAGAGCGAACGACGATGAGAATAGAGAAGGTGAAGGAAAAATTGGGGATGAATAATATATAATTAATAATTAAAATATTTAATTAAAACTTGATTTTTGTATTATGAAACTAAATAGTTGATTTATGAAAATGATATTTTAAAACCATGTATAGTTGTAATTTCCTTTCCTTTCCTTTTTTTTTTTTTGGCCCTTTTGTTGGGAAAATTACCAAAAACCAGTTGTTAAGTTTGTGGTTTTAAACAATCAGGTTTTACCTTTATTTAATCAAAAATCAAGTTTTAATTTCAGAATTAATATTAATAATAATATTTTAAATTAAATTAATTTATATACCCACCAACCCCCTACCC